CCAATGTCTTGAAGTGTGTCTGTTTTCTTCTAGTAGTTTCAGAAATAGGTTTTACATTTAGGTTTGATCCATCTTGTGGATATCCATTTTCCCCAGCACTATTGAAGAAGCTGTCCTTCCTTCAATATATGCTTTTGGCAACTTTGGCAACCAGTTGACTATATATGTGTGGGTTTATTCCTGGGATTTCTTTTCTTGTCCAATGGTCTGTTTTTATGCCAAATACCATGCTGCTAGTATGCTACTGTAGAAAAAGGAAACTGAACTCAGTAAAGTCACAACACCCTTGACCATCTGCATGATCCCTGCTCTATGTATGCCTTGTCCAGTCATCTGCCACCTACCACTGTGGACCTCCGGACTGCCCTGATGCAGAATATCCTTAACTGTCCATGCCCCACCTGACAGAGAACAAGGACTTTGAGTTACATCCCCCAACTTTGCTCTTTTTCAGCAGGGAGTTGTTGTCACCCATTTTTTTTTCTGTAGAAATGGAATGTGGAAATGTCAAAGTGGTCCACTTTATGCTTTGAATATAGCCCTTGCTGCTCTGCCATTGTCACGTATTTTTAAAATGGACATGTTTCTTTCTTTCCCTATTCTTTTCTAATCTCTCCTCTTCCCTAAGATTAGGGAAACAGGATTACCATTCTTCCCATCCTACGAAGATTTGTGTCTTTGAGTACACATCACCATAGGAACAACTAATTCAGGCTTTGGGGATGGCACCAGAAGATCTCAGAAATGACTATCTCCCAAATTAACAAGTGAATTACAACTCCAACTTTGAATCACCTCTTTAAAAGGCCCCTGTTGGCCTGGGATTGTGGCTCAGAGGTAGAGCGGGTTGCCTAGCACTCTGGGGGGACACTAGGTTTCATCCTCAGCACTACATACAAAAATAAAGTTATTAAATCCATCTATAACTAAACACATTTTTAAAAAAGCCCCTTGTTTCTGTTAAGGGGTAGAACCACAGCCTCTAGGAGAGGAGTCCCCTGTGTTTCTCTTTTCTAGCAAAGCAATAAACCCTCTTTTTATTTCTTGAGGGGGGAAAAAGGAAAAAAAGGTTTGTTAAATCCCACAGTGACGCCATTTGGTCTGGACTTTACTTGGGGAGACTTTATATTCCTGCTTGAATCTCATTGATTTTTATTAGTTTATTCCAGTTTTTTGTCTTCATGGTTTAATTTTGAGGAATCACATGTATCCAGAAATTTGTCCATTTCTTATAGGTTTGTTAGAGTACAGATTTTCAATAATAATTTCTAATGATACTTTGTATTTTCATGGTATCAGTTTAGTTTTATTTTTGTCTTTTCTTTCTTGGGTAGTCTAGCTAAAGGTTTGTAAACTTTCTTTTCAAAAAGCTAACTATTTGCTTCATTGATCTTTTATTTCTTTTTAAATTTTACTTATCCCTGCTCTGTCATTTTTTCCCTTCTATTTTTGGGTTTGGTGTGGTTTTGCTTTTCTTAGTACTTGAGATACACTGTTAGGTTGTTTGAAATCATTGTTCTTATAAAGTGGTACTTATTGCTATAAACTTCCTTCTCTTGGCACTATATTTGCTTATATGACATAATTTTGGGTATTCTGTGCTTCCATTTTCAATTGTTTCAACAAATTTTTAAATCTTCCTTTTTCTATAGTGACCTTTTGATGTCCAAGAGTAAAAATACCTGTCTTCAAGTTCAAATATTCTTTCTTCTACTCTGTTGTTCAGGCTTTCAGCTGTGTGCATACACACATACTGAGTTTTTCATTTCAAAGATTTGTCTGGTTTCTTGTAAATCTCCGCTCAAGTTCTCATTTTTATCATGTATTTTCTTCTTAATTTCATTGAACTGTTTACCTGTAGTCTTTTAGATATCACTGAGCTTTTAAATAATTTATCAGTCTTTTTAACTGTATCAATTTCTCTGGAATCTTTTGGATCATGTGTCTCTACCACTTTGATGAGGAGGCCCTCTTGGGCATACCTTCAGGAGAGAGCTGCTTACTGTCAGTTTGTTATGCAGTGTTCACCTTATTTCCCGTAGTGCAGTCTCTTTGGCTGTGATTAATGATTTTGGTATTGCCTACTGTGATGAAGTAAGAGAGACCCCTTGTTTCTGTGGTTCATGCAAGAATGAGACACATTAGCAAGCATGTGCAACTTGAGTGCTGTGCTAGGGCTACTCCTAAAATTCAGGTGATGGGGAATTCCTCACATATTGCTGATGCTAGCTCTGCTACTGGCAAGGACCTCTGGCACTGGTAGCACCAGCAGTAGTGAGGGCCCTGAATCACTTGTTCTGGTACAGTCCCATGAGACACATGGGGAGAGAGTGGTGTGAACTGCAACAATAGTGTTCATACCCAGTCCAGACAGCAGTATGTGATCAGACAAGGTGCAGTGGAACTGTGGTGTACTTCTCAACTGATGGTAGTGCATATGTAGGAATGGTGCCAAAGTTCCTCTTGACCCTTCTTGGCACCCCTGATTAGCTGTGGAACCATGATGTTTTTCCCAACCCTGCCAAGAACAGGCATCTGAATGTGGTGCCGGGGCAGCAGGAACTATGCAGGCATTGAGTCACATATGGTCATTTACGCCCTTGGTCTCAGGGAAAGTGACCCAAGCTTCTGGTTCTCAATGTTATCACAGACCATTCCCTTCTGTGTCACAACATCCATCCTTATACATCATCTAGTGGGCTTAGGTCAGTCACTCCACTGGGATAACTTGAATTTTCAAGACGGCTACCTTCAAACTGGTGAGCTTCTGGAAGCAGTTTCTGACCTCTAGAGTATCCCAAACTCAGGCAATAGCTTACTTCCTAACACAGTACCTGGCTACAGAACCTTGGGTATTCAGTGGGAGATGATGTAAGATCTTTATCAAAAGCAATGCTATTGACCAGATTTCAATCCTATTTTCACTGATTAAAAAAAAAAAAAAAACTATCCATTTCTGCAAAGTGGAGACTCCTCTTTGCTTGGCTATGGAGCTAAAGTCACAGATGCAAGGGCATTTTGTTTTTCTTTTTATAATGTTGTTCCAGGTTTCTGAATCTCCCAAGGTTCCAGTCTAATTTCCAGGCCTCTCCCATTGTAAGTCACCTCACATGTAGCTATGTGCTTGTGACTTTGATTCTTTGTGGAATAGCAGGTGAATGTTGGATACTCATTCAGCCCTCTCATTTCCTTTTCACTTCCCTCTCTCTGCCAGCTTACCTGGTTCTTTAAGTATAATGGTTTGCTTTTAGTAGCCCCCTGGCAGCAGGGATGATGAGTATACAAATTTTTGCCCTCTGTGCTAGGATCAAGACCATTTTTCTTTGGATCACTTAAACATCTCTAACCCCATTGGCATGTAATAGAAGGAAATCTCCAATTGTTTAAGATGAGCAAACACAAAAATGCTTAGAGTAACAAAATTATAACCTTAGTTGCCTATCTCAAGTACAGAAATAAGAATTCTAAACCAGCCCCCACTCGTTGAATAATTATTTAAGTTCCTGATAGTGATCCTGAAGCTACGAACATTAAAAATATGACTCAGAAGTCATTTTTGGAAAAATTTACATACTATTAAAATGCAATATTAAATGTGTTTGTTGAGGTCATTTTGGCATGTTTTAATTCTTTAGGAAATATATTTGTTCTGGTTCATAAGTTAACTGACATCCATTTAAAAGCCAATTTGAAATCTAAGGTAAGTATTAGTCCAATTATATTCCATGAATGACTACTCTCAGATACTCCAGAAAAGCATTACTAAATTTTTTTTAATCAGTTTTGTCTACATAACACTTAGGGAATAAAGTATGTATAAAATAAAATAGTACTCTGTCTTCTGGATAAATTGGGATTTCTGCATTTAATAAACATGCACATCACTGTTATCAAATTATCATTTAAAGGTTCTGAAGGAGTTAAAAATCAAATATCAAAACACAAGGAGTAAACAGATTTTTAAAGAATTCTATACATTGTGTTGGATTGAAATGAGATGGTTGAATTGTACTGCTCCATCATTAAAAGAGACAGTTTAAGACTAGTTGATTCATAGTCTTTTTTCCTCTTTTTGGGCACAGACCTCAAGATATGTGGATAAAACTACTTCATATTTTTAATACTCTGGCAGGTCTTGATTGGAAAGGAATGACTATTGATCTGATATAGAGAACAATGAAAAATAATTGCTACAATTATTGGAGGAAGCAAATACAGTATGGTAATCTGTTTATGTAATATAACTCCACTTCTTTTAAAATAGAATTTTATAGTTGTTGGGAGAGAAGCATACTGTAAGAGAGACTGGTAATGAATTTTTTAAAAAATGAGATCCCTAGAAGGATCAGAAATGAGATGATGACTCTTTAAAAAATAAGACCAAATGCTCTGGGTTTCTGGGCAAAATTGTTGAACAATTGTATGTGGTCCTGGACATCAGAATGGGAAATAGAGGCTAGGAAAGTGTTGAGCTTGGGCGAGGGGTTTTGAAATTGATGAAAAATAAAGAATCCAACTGTGCCTACATGTTATCCAAGCATTTAGCACCCCCTCCCCCCAAAAAAAGAAAATAAACTGGCTACAGAAGACACAGGCTCGAATGGAAAGATTCTCTGTACCAATCTTGAGCTGGGCAAGAGGCACTCAAATAATTGATGTTGGAGCCCTGGGGTGCCAAGAGGCCATATTTCATGTGTGAGTTCATGTTGCCAAGTGTTACGTGGGTATAGGGTATTTTTAAGATAATCATACCAAGAATACTTGCAGAGTTTGATGGAGAAGAAAGACCACTGCTTCATTGAAGCAGAAAGGGGGTGATTGGTGAGTTTTACTTTTCTTGATTAGAATAAAGGACATGGGGTCTACATAGATTTTTAGAAAACAAGTAGTCATCCAGTAAACTGTTTTAAAGAATATTATGCATATTATGGATACTAACTATACTTTTGTGCTAGCCCCTCTAGGAGAAGTCATGTAAAGGGGCAGCCCCTAGTACTTACATCTCTTCCAATCAGGTCCTCTTGGTTTTCCACAATTCCCCATGGGGCAATACCTATGGTACATATCTTCCCTCGAGATTTAGATGCGTGGTCCTTCAAGGCATCTCCAACATGCCGAATGACACCTGGGGGCAGAGAGAGAAGTATTATCTTACTTTTTAAAGCAATGACCTTTACATCATTTTGAAGGGTGAAAACTTTCTCCCAAGGTGAAATGCATCAAAAGTACAATTTTGATACGTCTGTGTATAAACCACATATTTAGGCAAGAACATAAGATTGTGATTGTGCCAGATATAATTCCCACACTTGATATAAATGTCAGTAAAAGCATTACTGGAATCTGTATGAAAACATGCCTATAAGAAGAATAAATACAACAATTTTAGTCACTTTTACTTTTTTTGTATAAACCTAATGATTTGTTCATAGGACTTAGGACACGCTTAACGTGTTGATTCTATAAAACGTACCATATATAATGTTATATTAAATATACACTCTAGATTATGTTTGAGTCAGAATCATTTGAATAATTATTTAGCTCACATTTTTAGTCCTAATTTCATCTTCCTATTTACAAAATATGTAGCAAATCTACCTCACGTTGGCTTATTCTGTAGAAAATTTGTTAAAAATACACCTTTAATCTTTATCATTCTAATTTTCTTCTTCTGTCCTCAACATAGTTAAAGGAAATTTAGTTTAAAATGGTTGTGAACCTCTCTCTCACTTTTTCATAAACCATTTAAAGAAGATGTAAAGAAAATGTGGTATATATACTCAATGGAATATTACTCAGCTTAAAAGAAGAGTGAAATTATGGCATTTGCTAGTAAATGGATGGAGTTGGAGAATATCATGCCAAGCAAAATAAGTCAATCCCCCCAAAACCAAAGGCTGAATGTTTTCTCTAATATGCAGATGCTAATTCACAATAAGGCGGGGGCACTAGGGATGAATAGTGTTACCTTAGATTAATTAGAGGAAAGTGATGGGAAGAGAGTGGATATGGGGATAGGAAAAATAGTAGAATAAAACAGACATTATTACTTTATATATGTATATGACTACATGACCAATATGATTCTGCAACATGTACAGTCAGACAGGATATAGTTTCCCATTTTTCTATGTATGATATACAAAGAGCATACATGCATTCTACTGTCAAGTATTACTAATTAAGTAAATTAAATAATTTCTAATCTTTTAACTTCCCTCTTGAACAATCATTTTTGATATATTTTTAGATTCCATTTATCAAAATTCTACCTCTTCCTCAAGAAAAACATCACACCTAGTGCCATCTCCTATATAAATGTTGAGTTGGATTTGATTTCTCAAGTTGGATTCCATTTACACATAATGCAGTTTGCACAGCTTGAGCAGCTCCATATGTCACCTGATCTGCTCTACAATGATTCATAATTATGTATAAGAATGACTCTGCCAATAATAAAGCTCCTTAAGGGCAAGGGCTCAGAAATTGTGTCCCAAACACGCAGAACATACCAGGCAATTTAATCAGGGGAGAGAATATACATGCTTAAAGAACCTTCTTTTAAAAATCAAGTACCGATGTAGTGTAAATGACCACTAATCCACGTTGCGCTATGCTGGGAGATGGAGGAGCACATTATTCTCACTTGGTAGTTTGTCTAAGATTTTTCTAAGTGCTGGGTGCAGTGGTGCACACCTGTGATCTCAGTGGCTCAGGAGGATGACGAGTTGCAAAATAATACATGAGACCCTGTCTGTAAATAAAATACAGCACAGGGATGGGGATATGGCTTAGTGGTAGAGTGTCCCTGAGTTCAACTGTGGTACTCCCCCCGCCGCCAAGAAAAAGAGAATTTTCTAAGATAGCTTCTGAAAATACTAAAACATGAAAATCTGTATATTAATGATAATATGCAAAACATAGGGCCAACCCTGAACAAGAAGTTTAGCTTCATGGTATGCCTCACTGTCTGCCACAATTCTCTTATTACCTCTTACCTAACCTCAGCACCTGTCATTAGATTGTCACTTTGGTCTTGGACTGAATGATAAGTCCAGAGGGAAGCAGAGATGAACTCTTTGGTTTGTAGTTGTTTTTTTTTTTTTTTTTTTTTTTTTTTTTTTAACCTTTTGGTAGTAGAGATTGAACCAGAGGTACTCTATTACTAAGCTACATCATCTACATTCCTTTTTGGGGAAGGATCTTGCTGAGTCTGATCTCAAACTTGTAATCTGTTTCAGTCTCCTGAGTTGCTGGAATTCTAGAGGCCTATGTCAGTTTATAGTATTTAAGATGTACATTTTTTTGACATTGAATGCATTGTGTAAAAGAAGAAAAATAATGTTCCAACTTCTTAGAAATAGATTGGCAGGAGTTTCTTTCAAAATTTAGAAGCGTTTGGTTTGGTGACTGCATGTCAGGAAAGTCTACAGCTGGAGAATCACCGATGTGTGATGGCCACTTAGTAGGGAGCAAAAACATGGGGCTTAAAACCTGAACAGTCACTGAAAGAATTTTGCTCTTTGGATATTTGATTACTAGAGTGTAAACATTAAAGAGCTGACTGAGCAGGTCAATCTAAGATCATGTCAGCTTCCAGACCAAGTCAGGATTTCACATAACAATATGAGGCATGGGCAGCATTCAGTTCATTGCTGAAATGTGCTTGTGCAGCTGTGTCTGATTCCCAAATTCTAGGTATTTAGAATTTGCAGAGCAGATCTCAAACATTGTCCAAACTACAAACAAACAAACAAACAAAAAATTGAGAAAACATGGTATTTAAAAGCAGCAATAGTTGGCCCAAAGTTACGTTCAGAATGTCCCACTAACAACAAATGTGTCTGTGTACAGACTTTGAGCCTTGTAATGAGTTTGCATTAACTTACTACAACTTACTTGTAAACCGCTAATTGGCACATCCAACTCAGGCTGGGGAAATAGGGCAACAAAGTTTACATGCTTCCAATTTATTATCTGTTGTACATTGATAAGTGCTTATCTTCAGAACTTTAACTATACATGTGTAAGTAAGAATTGATTTGAGAGCATGCCTGTATCACAATATAGAAACTCATTAGGTAGTAGGAAAAACTAGTATCTGGGATGAGGTGTGTCTTCTATTGGTGCAGAGATGATTTAATGGAATATTTTAAATAATAAACACACCAGACCCTAGGGTGCATCAGGCCCTGAGTTCCATCCCCAGTACCTCAGCCAAAAAAAAGAAAACAAAGTTACTAGATATTTACATGACAACTTGAGCTACTGAAAACATCCTACAAAACCCCATTGGTCATATTTACAAATTCTGCAGAGTCAACCATTAACCATTTCAACCTGTTACTTAATTCTTAAAAATAATGATACGGCGATCATTTTGGAAAAGGAGGCTGAGAGAGAACCAGGCAGAGGATTTCACATAAACATATTAAAGCATGGGCAGCGTTCAGTTCATTGCTGAAATGTGCTTGTGCAGCTGTGTCTTGAGCCTTATAATGAGGAGCAGGGGAGAGGTGGGTAAATATAAATACACTCTTAGAAAATGATCTTAGGCACAACATTCTCATGGCCTTATGATGCCTTTCCCCGTCACACTCCAGTTACCTGTGTTAACCCCTCCAGTGAAGATCCACGCTCCGGTGGTCATGGCTGCTTTGATGAGACCTTTCCCAAAGACTTGCTTGAGTTTGGGCTGGAGTTCAAAGTTCTGCAGGCCCCCGTGGACAGAGATGAGAAGCTTGGGAAGCTCCAGTTGCCATTCCTTGGTCATCAGGTGTAGAAGGAGATCAGGTTTCGTATCAAAGGATACTCGCACGTACTAGAAGAAGAAAGGCTATTTAGTGAAATATTTGAAGTAAAACATTATTTAAATATTTCAGTAAAATACTATTTAATATTTTTATGAGATAGATATCATTACCCTAAGTACATGTATAAAGATATGAATGGTGTGAATATATTTTATATACAGAGATATGAAAAATTGTGCTCTATATGTGTAATACGAATTGTAATGCATTCTGCTATCGTATAACAAATTAGCAAAAAAAGAGAAAGGAAATGGCAACAAAAAATATTATTATTTAAGTATTTTAAATAATTGATTAGGGAGATGGGCTGGACTTTTGAGGCTTCCCCCCCCCCCAATGTAGATTGAACTGAGGGCCACAAACATGCTGTATCACTGAATGACATTCTCAGCCCTTTTTATTTTGAGATATTTCTCCCTAAGTTACTCCAGCTGGTCTTGAGCTTGTGATCTTCCTGCCTCAAATTCCTGGGTAGCTGGGATTACAGGTGTGCCTCACTGCATCATGTGGCAACTTGTTATATGTGTTGTTACTTGAAGAAAATTTTCATGTGAAATCAGATTTTTATTTTTTTAAAAGGGTGATCACTTCCTTTACCAAAAGAGCCTTCAAGAGATGAAGAGTTTAGAGGTTTTCTTGAAATTCTGTAACTACAAACTTAAATTATTTGATTTTCTAAAATGTCGTCTAAGCACAACTTTTCCCAAAGTGAGTTTTGTCCAAAATAAAGCCTGCTAATATTTTACCATTGACTGTATTTTGTGGAAGGGCCCAAATAGCTCCAAAGTTTCAATGAGTAATGGCTTCAAATAAGTTGAATGCAGATAGGCCTATGTATTTTTGTGATCCTACTATTTTGAGAGGTTTTTTAAGATCCTACAATCCTACATAAGGCAATGAAAAATTTGAAATAAGGTAACAGATTATATTGAAGTCTATAATAACTGCATATGAAAATGTTTTATTTTTAAAGAGAATTAATTACTTCCACAGGATAATTGAAAATTAAGGTTTATAGCAGTTATCAAGGTTTTACCAGATGCAATTAGAAATAAAATTATGAGATGTATAAAGAAAATGCTTTAAATTCATATGTAAATAAACATCAATAAAAACATAGGTTCATTTAGGTCTTCATGTACTTATAAAGATTTTATTCTAATCATGCATAACAAATTAGAACAAATAAATAGTTAAAAAAAGATTTGATTCTAGCTAGAAACAACTAAAATACTAGGTAAATAGAAAAAAGCTTTAGAAATACATTGCCGAATTGGCATGAAAAGAAGGGATATTCAACTCTTAAAGTAGAAGCTGTAAACTTGGGAAGTTGCAAAATGTCAAGGCAAGGAGGACCCTGAGGGTCTAAATCCTGGTCATCCTGAACATTTGATTTGATGGCCTTATGCAGTATGGGGGAGTTTAATAGGAAGCTTGAGTAAAGCTGGCCTATTTCAAAGGACTCCACCCTGAAGCCTCAGGAAGAAAAAAATAAGTCACTCTGATGTACAGAAAAAGCCAGCAAAGAAGTTTGCCTACCTCCACCTTGGCTCTGAGAAGAAGGGAATGAAAAAAATCTTCCTCTGATTATTTCTAAACACAAGTAGGCCTTCACACAGGTTTTGGCCCACATTCATGCTCTCAATTCAGTTTAAGACACACTAAGCATAGTGTTTAAGGTAAGATGGTTCTGGTTGAGTAATCCCTCCAGATAACTGGAGAAGCAAATACAGTTTCTCTGTGGAGGGAAGCGTCATTGATCCCGGTGGGAAATAATTCCCATGGGAAAGTAAGCATTCCCTGGTCCTAAAGTAAAATCTAATCACAATTATATATGGAAACAAAGCAGCATGAGTCAGAAACAGGCAGCAGAGTAACATTCTCAAAGATATTGAAATGATTAGACAGAATACGTAATAGCTATGTTTAATATGCTAAAAGCAAATGAAATGACTGAATGTATGAGGAAGGAATAACCATGCACAATTGAAAAAAGAATGAAGCAGACCTTCTAGAAATTAATATGGAGTAATTTAAAGGAAAATTATAATTGATAAACCACAGAAGAGAGACACTGGTAATAGATCTGGTAAATAAAACAGATACAACCTACAAAGACAAAGGAATTAAAAATAGAAAAGAAAAATGAAGACCCTTGCAGGAGATAATTAGAATTATAGATAGAAATAAAAAAAATGGGAAAGAGGTAATCCTTGAAGAGCTATTGCCTGGGCATTTCTCAGAATTATTGAAAGATAGTAATTCTCAGGTGCAGAAAGTTCAGTGAATCCTACGCAGGATGGATTACAAAAAAATGAATTCAAGGACACACAAAGATAACATCAAACGGTGGGGGAAAATCCTCAAGTAAAAGATCATCCACAAAGAAACAGTCAATAAACCTAGGGCCTATGCCCCAATAGCAACAATGGATACCAAAAGCCAGGATCTGTTATGTGCGATGAGAAATTATCTGTCAGTCTAGAAGTCCGGTCAGCAAAAATTCCTTAACAAATGACAGCAAATTATAGACACCTTCTGACTGCTCAAACTGAGTTTACCTCTAGCAGATTTTGCTAAAGAAAATTTTAAAGTGTGTGTGTGTGTGTGTGTGTGTGTGTGTGTGTGTGTATCAGGCAGAACTTGTAAGATCTAATATGGATGAATTGGGATGTGAGATGGGATGACAAAATAAGATTTTAACAACTTTATGGTAAGTCTAAAAAAACACTCATAATGAAAATGTCTAATTTTTGGTAAAAAGGGATAGAAGTAAAGCACTGGAAAATCTGGTATACAAATTGGATGAAGTAACTAAAATTATAGCATTCAGAAGTCTGTATGCACATGGAAGAGAAGAGAAAGGTATTAATTGAGTTTTGACCAATTTCATGTACCTTTTTGAAGTTTGTACCTGGGATCAGATGCATATACATTAATTCATGTATTGTCTTACCCTAAACATTTTTCTTTTATAATAAGGAGGAATACACTCTCATGATAAAAGCATAATGTAATGATTTCATACACCAGGAAGTCATTTATTATTATATATTATGTACTGTGCATAATTGTATATGCTATGCTTTTATAGGACTTGCAGCACAATGGGTTTATTTACACCATGTTGCCACAAACATAATATATTGTGCTTCAACATTAAGACTTTAATGATGTCATTAGGTGATGAGGATGTTTCAGGTATATGATAATTTTATGGGATCACCATTACACATGTGGCTCATTATTGTTCAAAATATTGTGATGATATCAAAATATCACATTACATGCATTGTGCTCTACATGTTCCATTTCATCTACTCTTCTCAGTAATAAAGAGGTTGGCATCAGCCACATGATGGAACAGAAAAGATCTATCATGTTCTCAAGTGCACATTGCTAATAAAACAGTAATGACAGGATTTATACCCCAGACTAAGCTATAAATATCTCTTTTATCTCTTTTCCCATACTTTTCCACCTACAACAAGCAACCCATCTTTGAGTCCTAATGAACCATTTCTCAAAATGGTGCTCATAACTAGGTGCTTCTCTCTTTTCCTTCTCCTGCTGTCTTCAGAATGCATCCTCCTTTAAGGATGTCAGTTTGAATTCTCCCAGAGAATTCTTTGGCTCTGAGCTCTCTATGAGACACCAACAGGTAGGCTATTTCTTCCAGTCCCTTTTTGATCATATTATTCATCAATTAAAATCAAGATATCCTGTGTAAATTCTACATGCGGTGATTAGGTTATTCCATAATTTGGAAAGAAAACACTTTACTTCTGAGCTACATCCCTACCCTCTAAAACAAAGTATTCAAATGAATCAAGTTGTTGTTGTTGTTGTTTTGGTTATTGTCTAGCAACTCAAGTAAATGATTTGGGAATAAGCCTAAGGCATAATATTTTGAAATTATCTAAATAAAACTAAGGCATAAAACATTATTTTGAAATTATCTAAAGATTTTAATTTTTGAATTATATTCTTATATCCCCCCAAATCATGTCTTTGGTAAGTGCTTTGGTAATATTATAGTTAACTCTGCTAAATCAGCAGCTTCTCACTTATAAATGATTGTGCCCACAGCAATGAATCAATTACTGTTAAAAAGTCAATGTAATTTAAAATTAGGAGCTATTTTGGTCGTCAAGGTAAGCAATTTTGACTGTTCACTTGTTTATTAATTGCTGAGGGTTTATCATACTGATAACAAGGAATCTTCCTAATGTGCTTATTAAATTTTGTCACCTGAGCCTTACTCTGATGGGGTACTCTCATTTAGGGATTCCCTGGATGATGACAGCAACACACTCTAGCATTAGACACTGGCTCTATCAGTGATTTGGCCAATTTGAGCATCCTCTCTTGCTAAATGGGGGTGCTCCCAACCACCTTTTAGGATGCTGCATTGATTAAATTGTGGAACATATATGGCTGAAAAAAATCTATCAGATAAAGTTTATATGCAGTACCTCTACACGTACGTGTGTGTGTGTGTGTGTGTGTGTGTGTGTGAGTGTGTGTATGACTCCTGTATACAACAGGTCTAAGCAACTTGGTTTTAGCTCTTTGATTAGTAGTTTCCCTTCAAAATACCCCCATACTTTCAACTCTAGATCCGTAGAGAATGGCTGAAGTCATTTATTACAGGTGTTTATAGAAGTACCTGCTCTGGGTCATGTAATGCTTCCTTTATTCACAGACCTTTAGTTCACCAGTTTATCATTTCAAGAGAGACACTGAGTTCAAATAACTTACTCATATTTGGAATTATCCACCTTTTCCCCTTCATATAATTAGTATCCATGCTTGGTAGCAGGATGCTCACAAAGATGTGTAAATGATAGAATGTTCTGTAGAAAATAAAAATCAAAAATAGTTGAAATCGAATTATTTGATCTATTCTTAGGTGTTGTGGAGGTCAATGCATCTAGCATTATTTTCACAAGAAAATGCACTTTGATATCTACATGACAAACTTTGAAATAAAATTATATATGTGAGG